AGTTCAGCTGGATGGTGAAATACGATATCTCTCAGTCACAGCTGTGATGTCACACGGGCGCTTTTATTAACCTGCAGAAGAAGAACAAGTTACTCAGAAATAAATTATCAGCATTCATTAAATAATAACGCTCCATAAATAAAAGAAAACAATGTTGTTTTTGTGCAAACAAAGAGCTCAGAGCTATAAACAAACAGACGCTGAGCGTAACAAAGACTTCACAGCTGCTCTGCGCGACCGACAGCCTGCAGTTTGAATCCTCTTCGTGTCTCTGAGCCGTCTGTGGTCCTTCACGCACACGTACGGTAACATTACGCTGAAGAGTACGCATCACTCCGCAGGCTCCTCGCCAGCCGTAACGCTCCAACAATCCATCAATCGCTGCAGCTCAGCAAAGTCGAACCAAAAGCCTGTGATGGGGTATCGCCCTGTTTCCTGTTCCTCTGCAGCAGCGCCGTAGGTGCTCCAGAGAAAGTGCTGATGCCGGCGCTGTGACGTCAGAGCTCAGCCGTGATGAATGAGACGAAACTGCACAGAAAACACACAAACCGGCTAACAGGGTCACGCAAACACGGCGAGGCTCGATCAGACGCCCTTTGACAGGCCGGACCCGTTTACCCGCCGTTTGCTGTGCGTGTCGGGACCATTTGAAGGGCCTGAGGTCAAAGGTCATCAGGGGTCATCAGTGAAAGAAAGGACACGCTCAGTCTCATTCCTACAGAGTTGCCGTGGTTTCCGGGTCCGCTGATCAACGCAAACGCTTCATAATTCACCGCTGAGCCGGCGGCGGCTCTGAGCGTCATCCTGCTGCAGCCAGAGCTGCAGACCAGCGTGTGAACCGCCACAGGAAGGAGGAGGCCAGGTGCATTACTTACCTGCAGAAGGGCCGGCTTGCAGAGGAGAGGACAGGTGACGTCCTCCCTCTCCCCGTCTGCGGTGCACGCCATCCTGCAGGAACACGGCAGCGAGCGAGCCGACTCCACAGAGCTCATCGGCTCAGCGTCTGTGGGACGTTCTGGAAAAACCGTCACAGCATCCCAGTGACCGTCAGAGGTCAGAGGCGTCTGAGGGGTCTGAGGGGTCAGGTGGAAGGCGTGAAAGGCTTCGGGGCTGTGATGTCAGAGACGCTGGTCGTGACTGAAGCTGAGAGCTTCGTATACGACGCGAGTCGTGATGACGGAGACGTGAACGGCTCGCAGTCTCCCATCAAAATGTTTCGATGAACGTCAGCGTCCCTGCTGAGACGAAGGAGAGTGACCTTTGACCTTTGTGACATGTCTAAAGTGCCAAACAGCAGCCGGTGGTTGCAGTTAGAAACACCGACAGGTGAGACTCAAGCCGACGTGGGCTGGTGCCGCCAGGTGCGGCGGTGCAGGTAAAGGTGTGCAAACGCAGCGCTGCTCCGGGGAGGCGCTGATATTCACGAGGCTTAGTGAGCGCTCCTCTCTGATGCTTCTCCGGTTACCTCCTCGCTGTCAGCCCTGCACGTCTCCTAAAAATATCTTGGAAATCGAATCATGTGAAACCAGAGTCCTGCTTTCAGCCTGTGCTCCGCCCGCCTGCCTCTCCTCTGCTCCGTCCTGTCCACATCCATCACGGCGAGGCCTCGTTAGCGTCACCGTGTCTGCGCAGACGAGACCGCCTCCGTTTATGCACTCATGGCGTTCTCGTAAAAGCATCAAAGGTGATTTACGCTGTTGACCACAAAGTGTTGGTCATGTGACAGATCTGTTCACACCCTCAATTATTACAACAGCCAATCAGAGCGAGTCTACTGAAGAGATGGCGAGCTGGGGAAATGGTCCGGCCCAGACTGTCCCCCGCCCGACTGAAAGGATGGAGATTTGATTTGTGGAGTCGTGTCCTGACTGGAGCAGATCCTGGTGAACGCTCTGTGGCCGACGCTATCACGTTTCCCTGCGAATGAACCGTGAAGTACTTCCTGTGAAATGTGACTCCTGCAGGAGGAGGCTGGCCTCCTCCTTCCCCGAGCTGAACCTCCCCTCTGTTTCCAGGACAGCTGTCACTGCACCCGGTCTGCATGCAAATGAAGTGTCGATGAGCGCAGACGCCTGCAGGGCCGCCACGCCGGACCCTCGTCTATGTGTCGTCTACTGCGGCAGCTGAGGTTTCATCCTGTGTGATGGACCTGTTTACCTGCTTGAGCAGTGTCCTAATGAGATCTGTCAGTCTTCTAATCTCTGATTTATAAGCCCTGAGATGAGGTGATGTGGTTACCAAGCAACAGCTTTCAGCCTCAGGTCCAGAGACAGATGTGAACCTGCAGCCTGTCAGAGACAGACGCCACATCCAGCTGTCAGGTCGCCAGAGCAACACGTAAACACACGACTGCACAAAGGCCGAGCTCGGCGCCAAAACATGACGCACTCACAGGGGGGCGGGGCCATGACACATCCATCCAGCCTTCCAAACATAAGTCAGACCCTACAATAGTACATACAGAGAAAAACAATCATATGACCCCCTATGAGCAGCACTTTGGCGACAGTGGGAAGGAAAAACTCCCTTTTAACAGGAAGAAACCTCCAGCAGAACCAGGCTC